CCCATCCCCCGCAGAAGGTAAAGCAGATAGATATTCAAGACATGAAATGTGACAGTTTGATATAGGCATACCTTGATTGATCACTGCAATAAAATTAGCATATCTCTCCCACAGTTCCCATGTGTGCATATGTTTGTGTACATAGAACTCTTAAAATCTGTTCTCCTGGAATAATTTCAGTAAACAATAGAAAATTATACACAGTCACCATGAAAGGCTGTGTTTTAATCAGCTTTCCTCAGAGTAGTTCAATGAGAACGCTGTTACTGTACTGAGGACACAGTTCAGTCATTAAAGTACTTCCTGTGCAAGCTGAGCCATAGAACCCACGTCAGGCACAACAGTTCACACTCATAATCCCAGCACCGGGGAGGCAGAGGTGGGAGGATCCCTGGGCTCACTGGCCAGCCAGTCTAGCCTAATCAGTGAGTTCCAGGTCCATAAGAGGCCCTGCCTTAAAGGAAGGGGGATGAACTTTCTGAGCCAACACAAGAGGGTGTCCCCAGACCTCCAAATGCTTCAAGTGTCCCCTCAAAAAGATTCCATAAGCAGATACATTGGAGAAATATTACTATCAAAATCCCCACTCTTAAGGATTCATATACACAAGAACCATGTAAGGGCTTGAAGAGGTCTCATAATAAAGAAACCTGATGGACTTTGTGGATGACCCTTTCTTAAAGATATAAATGCAGAACTCTTATTAGTTTGTCACCTCACTGACTCAGGGTCCTCAGAAACACTGGGAAATGATAGGCTAAGACTACGGGCAGTTTGTGTTTCTGTGAGTGACAAAGGACAGTAATAGTCTAGAACCTAATCTGTGCCAGCCAATCAAATGGATAAAACCAAGAGAAACAGAAGCAAATCCTATGAGAAGGGTCCAGCCATCACAGCTGCAGTATGATGCAGGGAAGAGTGAAAGGGACTCACCACGAATCACGTCCCAACAAGCTCAGCATCATAAATGCTCCAATTGGGTTCACCTCACACTTCTTCACCCATCCTCCAAACTGCCTCGTCCCCTTTGAGCCCCACTTCAGTTAGTGACACTTCCAAGCCCTGTGAGTCCCGCTCCTTGGAGCAGTCCCTACACTTTCCTGTCCCTGGTCCCTACATCCTCCTCACTCACTGGTCCAAGCCGACATCAGTCACTATCATCTGCAAGTTGGAGGCAAGTCCCAGGCCCTGAGCCACCATCCCTCCTCCCACATCTGTCCTTCCAAACCTTCAACCAGGCCACAGTTCTTTGTTCCTAGGCCTTGAGGGATGGCTCAGTAGTAAAGAGCAATCATTGTTCTTCAAAAGGACCTGAGTTTGGTTTCCAGCACCCAAGTGAGTCAGTTTACAACCACATGAAACTCCAGCTGAAGGAGATACGATGCTGTCTTCTGGACTCTGAGAACAACTGCACTCATGCACATACTTCCACACAGACACACGAGGACACACATAATCTAAAAATTAAAAAAAAAAAAAAACTTCTAAAAGAATGGTTGTGAGGGCCTTGGAAGATGGCTCAGTCAGCAGGCATGAGGCCCTCAGTTTGAAGGCCACGGACCCATAGAAAAACCCAGGTGCAGTGGCACATGCCTGTAATCCCAGGCCTGGAAAGACAGAAATGGGGGTCCCTGAGGCTTGCTGGCCATGTTCAGTGAGAGACCCTAGCTCAAAAAGTTAGGTGGACAGCAATTGAAGAAAACAACTGACATTGGCCTCTGGCCTCTACATACATCCATACGTGCACACACTCACAAGAACATATACATGCATCAGACACAAAAAAGAAGGAAGAAAAATGACCAGTTATCATGAGACCATATGTTAAGGGTCTTTAGAGTGCTTTGCAATGAATAATTTAAAATACAAGTATTAAGATGCCTGACACTAAGGGCTTAAGCCCCCCCCCCCC